TGATGGAACTTGAGTTTCTTCTTGAACTGTATCAAGTATTTAGCTTGGATACTTGTGGTGTTCAAGGCAAGATGATCACATCATCTTGTTCTTTCAAGCCAATAACCAATCCACTAGGTTTCTAGAGACGGGTTCTCTTTAGATCTAGCAAGGTAGTTATTGTTCCATAACCTGATCAAGATAGATCCTTCCGCTGCCTGATCGATTCGGTTCTTCAAGACAGGTTCTTGCTGGGTCGAGTTCGTATCATGAGATCATGGATGGATTTGTCAACCGCTTTTGTAAGGCAGTATGAATACAATTGCGAGTTCGTTCCGACGAGGACCACATTGAAGGGGACTAAGAGGAAACCATCGGAGGACCATAAGACGTATGCGAAGAGATGGAGGAAATTGGCCGCCAAGGTGGAGCCTCCTATGACTGAAAACAAGATTGTTCGCACGTTCATCAAAACTCATGACCCGCTTTGCTTTGAGGAGATTTTTCGAATGACAGGGTGTTCCTTTACAGAGATTGTCAATAAGTTGGAAGAGTATGACGAGTTTATGAGAGCAGGCAGGATTGTTAATGTTTCAGCTTTAAAGTCGCAGTTGGAAGCTATGCAAAGCCAAAACGGCAGCAGTAAAAAGTCTCAGTTTAAGAAGAAAGACGAGGAAGCTTCCTTTGTTTGGAACCAAAGTTCTTTTTCCCGGCCTACATACCAACGAAATCCCGCCTACTCACCTCGTTACCTATACCAACCACGCTCTCGACCTGTTTACAATACCACAATCAACCACCCCGTCCTCTACCAAATTACCCAAACACACCGTCAATGCCATTTCACATTTCCCCACCAAACTTCTAAATTAGACCGCGCCCTCCTTTCAACCCAAGACCTATTCCACCCCCCAACCCAAGTTACCACTATCAACAAACCAGTGACACCCAAAATCCAACCCCATACCGAACCTTCACCAATTTTGGTCGGCCCGTTGACCAATTGTATGAGCAATTGAAAGCTTCTAGAAAAATTCGCACCGTACCCCCTAAGACCTATTCCAAAGGATTTCCCATTGGTTATGATCCTTAGTCATGTTGTGCTTATCATTCGGGAGCCCCTGGACATTCAACTGCCAATTGCTGGGCGCTTAAGTATAAAATTCAAGACATGATTGAGTTCGGAGACATAGTCCTGAGGAGGAGGGAGGAACAAGGTCCAAATGTTAGCAAAAATCCTCTTCCTACACACAAGGACACCGTGGGAGTTATTACTATTGATGAAGAGATTGAGGAACCTACACAATTTATTATAGATGAAGCTGATACAGTAAGGGTCATTGAAGAACCATTCATATTGGAGGAAGAAGCTTATGAAGTCAAGAAAAATACTGGTCCGTTTATTCTAGAAATGGTGCCTTTCGAATGTGAGCCTTCGGAGCTGGTGGTACTTGAATTGCCTGAGCAACCTCCTATCCTTAATCTGCAAGAGGTCCCATGGAATTATAACGAGCCCACGCTATTAATTGGAGGAGAAAAGGTGCCCAGAAAGGAAGTGGACGCTATTACTAGATCTGGAAGAATCATAGGGGAACCTGCAGTTGATGAGCCCTCAAAAGCAAAATGCTGTTCCGACAAAACCAACTGTGACTGATGAAGAGGCCTTCAATTTCCTTAAGATGCTGAAGAAAAGTGAGTATAAGGTAGTCGAGCAATTGGACAAAATGCCCGCTCAAGTTTCTATATTGAATATGCTTCTAACCTCGGAACTTCATCAAGAAACTTTACTCAAGGTCTTAACTGAGGCTCAAGTGCCTAAGAATATTCCTGTGGATAAATTCACTCAGGTAGTGGAACATGTTTTGGCTTCAAATCAAATTTCTTTTTCTGATGAAGATTTGACTTCGGATGAGATTGGACACAATAAAACATTGTATATCTCAGTCCGTTGTAATGGGAAGTTATTGCCAAGGGTCTTGATAGACAATGGATCTGCTCTTAATATCTGTCCTTGGAACACTTTGGTTAAGTTGAGATTTCAGGAAGCTAAACTTCGGCCGTCTGCCATTGTGGTGAGAGGATTTGATGGCGCAAAAAGGGAGTCAATGGGGGAAGTGGATTTAGTGCTGGAAATCGGACCTACCCAGTTTCAAGTTATGTGCCAAGTCATGGACTTCTCGAGTGTTTATAATGTTCTTCTCGGACGGCCTTGGATTCATACTTCAGGCGCTATACTTTCTTCACTCCATCAAATGTTGAGATTTGTGGTGAATGGCCAGTTGATTAGGATATTTGCTGAGGAAGATTGCACTATGATCGTTAATCTAGAATTGGAAGATGATGGCGATAGAAAAGCTCTGGTTTCCCATCACCATGTAGCTGACATTGTTTCGGTGGGTAGGGCATCCAAGAACAAGGCAGCAGTGGAAATGAATTTACCTGAACCCAGCGTTATGATGGCCAAAGAGCTGATTTGAGGAGGTTATGAAATAGGCAAGGGCCTTGGGCGCAACCTACAAGGGGTCTTGGAGCCAATAGAACTTCAAGGAAAGAACGATACCTTCAGATTAGAATTTCAACCTACGGCCAAGGATAAGAAAGAAATGATGAATCGTAAGAGGGCAGAGAATGAAGGTAAGCAACTTATCATGAGCATCCCACCGTTGTACTGCACTTTTCCTTATCCATCGGAGGTGATTAGACCTGAAGTGGATCCGATCGAGGCAGTGGATATTGGATTATCTGAGCTATTTGTGGGGGTTGCTGCTGAGGAGGAGCCATTGGAGGATCCAAGATTTCCAGAGGTGCCTATTGAAGCAATGAAGAACTGGACCAGTGATCTCTTTCCCTCCTGCAGGGAATTTCGGTAAATTAGGGGATTGCCTTTGGTCGCCATGAGACAAATCGTTCATATTGCTTATCTTTTGTCTTTCAAGTTTGTAAATAGTTTTTAATCAAATATTTTCCAATGCAAGTCTTGCATTAAATTTCTTGTTAAGTAGCATGTCATGATGTTATCCTTTACTTTGAATTTCAATGAAATGCACAGTGTTTATTGTCCAAATTGTTTTAACTTACTTACTATTGCATTTGTTTTATTCTTTTTCAGATGGCCAAAAATAAAACACATTGACCCTTTGGATATCACTATTCTGGAATTTGATGATTGTGATCTCGATATCCCTCACGACTTTGAAATTTTGGAATCCGAAATTCAAGACGAGAGAGATAACGAGGAAGAATCTGAGTCTTTATTAAAGGATCTTGAACAATATGAGGAGAAATCCAAACCGAACTTAGAAGAAACAGAAGTTGTTAATATTGGCACTGAGACTGAGGTTAAGGAGATAAAAATTAGCATTCATTTGAATAAGAAACAGAGAAAAGAAATGCTCGAGTTTTTTACCATGTTTCAAGATGTGTTTGCCTGATCCTATGATGATATGCCTGAAATTTCAACAGATATAGTGGTCCACCGATTACCGAATGATCCAAATTTTCCACCAGTAAAGCAAAAACCTCGCAAGTTTAAGCCAGACATGAGCCTCAAAATTAAGGAGCAAATCGAGAAGCAGCTCAATGCTAGAATTATTCTGGTGTCTCATTATCCTATTTGGCTTTCAAACCCTGTACCTGTTCCAAAGAAAAGTGGAGAAGTGCGAGTATGTGTCGATTACAGGGATCTTAATAAAGTCAGCCCGAAAGATGATTTTTCGTTGCCGAACATTCATATCCTTCTGGACAATACCGCAGGGCATGAGATTGAATCATTTGCTGACTGTTTCGCCGGATATCACCAGATCTTAATGGCAGAGGAGGACAGGGAGAAAACTGATTTTATCACGCCCTGGGGGACATTTTACTACCGAGTAATGCCGTTTGGATTGAAAAATGCTGGCGCCACTTATTAAAGGACTATGACCACCCTGTTCCACAATATGATTCATAAGGAGATGGAGGTTTATGTGGACGATATCATTATCAAATCCGAGAGAGCGGAGGATCACTTGGTTGACTTGGAAAGGTTGTTCGAAAGATTGAGAAAATATGATTTGAAACTAAACCCTGCAAAGTGTGCATTCGGGGCACCTGCCGGAAAGTTATTGGGATTCATTGTCAGTAAGAAGGGTATAGAGATAGATCCGGCAAAAATTAAAGCCATTTGTGAGATGCCGGTGCCAAGAACGTAAAAAGACATGAAGAGTTTTTTAGGGAAGATTAATTTTATTGGGAGATTCATCGCTCAGTTGACCCACACATGTGAGCCTCTGTTCAAGTTATTGAAGAAAAATATGCCACTGTATTGGAGTGAAGAGTGCCAGCAGGCGTTTGATAAAATTAAAGACTACTTGTTGCACCCCCCAGTTTTAGTGCCACCCAAACCCGGGCGACCTTTGATCATGTATCTATCGGTGTTGGACGAAGCTATGGGATGTGTATTGGGACAACACGACGAATCAGGGAAGAGGGAGCAAGCTATCTATTACCTCAGTAAGAAGTTCACTGCGTATGAGGCCAACTATTCTTTTCTTGAGAGGAGTTGCTGTGCTCTAGCTTGGGCCGCTCAAAAGCTAAGGCATTACTTGCTCAGTCATACTACTTACCTCATTTCCCGCTCCGACCCTTTGAAATATCTGTTGGGAAAGCCTATGCCGATTGGACGTGTGGCAAAATGACAGATGATTCTTTCGGAATTTGACATTGTTCTTAATACGCAAAAGGCAATCAAAGGCCAAGCTGTGGCCGACCATTTGGCTGAAAATCCACTAAAAGATGATTATCAACCGCTTCACACTTATTTTTCGGATGAGGAGGCCCTGTTCGTGGGTATAGCAGAAGATATGAATGATCAATGCCCGGAGTGGAGGTTGTTTTTTAACGGCGCGTCAAATTCCTTCGGGGCCAGTATTGGAGCTGTTCTAGTATCGCTTGAAGGAAAGCATTACCCTGGTTCGGCCAAACTATGATTTTTTTGTACTAATAATATGGCAGAATATGAAGCTTGCATTTTTGGGTTAAAAATGACGTTAGAAATGGAGATTAAGGATTTACTAGTATTCAGCGATTCAAATTTGCTTGTACATCAGACTTTTAAGGAGTGGATCACTCGGGATTCAAATATCTTGCCCTATCATTGCAGCTTACTGGAGTTAGCAAATAAATTTAGGAGTTTGGAGTTTTGGCATATTCCACGTGTCAGAAATGTCTTTGCCGATGCATTGGCCACTTTATCTTCAATGATTCAACATCTAGATGAGTTGGTAATTGAACCCATCCAGATTCATCTACAAGAAAAACCTGCTCACTGCCTAATTGTGGAAAAGTCTTTCGATGGCCGTCCCTGGTACAATGATATCAAGGAATTTCTCAAAACGGGATCCTATCCTCCTGGGGCCGATACAACTGCTAAAAGCTTCTTGCGCAAATTGTCTTCCAAATTTTTCCTAAACGAAGAGGTGGTATACAAAAGGACGTCAGATTTGGGCCTTCTAAGGTGTGTTGATGAGGACGAAGCAGAATACTTGATGAAAGAAGTACATAGTGGAGTATGTGGATCACATATGAATGGCCACTTGTTAGCAAAGAAGATCATGAGGACCGGATATTTTTGGCTTACTATGGAGCATGATTGTGTAGTTTTTGTTAGGAAATGCGTAAAGTGTCAATTGCATGGAGATGTTATGCGCACTCCCCCTACAGAATTACACAGTATGACTGCTCCCTGACCATGTTCGATGTGGGGTATGGATGTAATCGGAGCAATTGACCCTCCTGCTTCAAATGGGCATCGGTTTATTCTGGTGGCAATTGAATACTTCATCAAGTGGGTTGAAACTGAGTCTTATAAGTATGTGACTAAGAAGGTGGTGACGGACTTTCTAAGAAAGCATATCATTTGTCGTTTTGGAGTGCCGGAGACATTAATCACTGATAATGCCAAAAATCTCAACAATGACATGGTGGATGGTTTGTGCAAATAGTTCAAAATAAAACATCGAAACTCCTCTATTTATAGGCCACAGATGAATGGAGCAGTAGAGGTTGCAAATAAGAACTTGAAGAAAATAATCCGTAAGATGATTGAGAGACACCGTGATTGGCACGAGAAGGTCCCTTATGCATTAATGGCATATAGAACTGCTATTCGGACTTCTACTGGGGCAACTCCCTATAATCTCACGTATGGAATGGAAGCAGTTTTGCCAGCCGAAGTCAAAATCCCTTCTTTGTGCATTTTAATGGAGGCCAAACTGGAGGAGGCTGAGTGGATTCAACAACGTCATGAGCAGTTGTCTTTAATTGATGAGAAAAGGTTAAATGCCATTTGTCATGGTCAATGTTATCAAAAGAGGGTAGCCCGTGCTTACAATAAGAAGGTCAGACCACGAATATTCACAGAAGGAGATAAAGTGTTGAAACACATTTTGCCAGTACAAGAGGAAGCTAAGGGGAAATTTGCGCCAAATTGGCAAGGCCCTTTTATTGTCCAGAAAATTTTGTCCGGGGGAGCGCTCATTCTTGCAGAAATGGATGGGCAAGTGTTCACTCAACCAATCAATTATGATATGTGTAAGAAATTTTTCATATGATAAATGAAATTTTCCTTTTAGGGTTAATGTAAAGAATGGAATGAAAAGTCAGGCCTTCTTTCTTTCCAATCAAACATTCTATTCCTAGTTATCCCTTTTGAGCCTTCAGAGCAAATTAGTTCGTTTGGCATCCCCTGAGAATCGCAAACCCCACACTGGGACAAGTTTTGAGTTGAAAAAGCTAGGAAGAAAAAGAAGGAAAAAAGAAAAGAAAAGAAAAGAGAGGGTTCAAAAGGTAAAAGCGATAGAGGAACAAAATGAAGAGAAAAATGAAAAGAGAAGGATCTCAATTGAAAATAAACTGGGGCAATTATTAGTAGGGTTAATTTAAAGATGCGATCTCAGGAAATCTAAACATTCATAAGTCTGCTTTCAAGCCTCAAGCCTTTCTAAGCACCCCACCAGACCCCATTGCAAAAACCTAAAAGTCCTGACTTCTGTTCTTTATATTGCTTTTTTAGGACAATTTCTAATCAAGTGGCACATGATGTCAAAAACATCTTCACCTATTTTGCAAGGAAAGAATTGTTATACTGATGCCATTATTTCTTAAAACACATTTTTGGATTAATATGGGCGATAGACAAGATTTGTTTGTTAGGTGAAAACCTGCAAGGGCACCTTAGAAAAAAAAGAAAAAAAAGAAGAAAGGAAAAAAGAAAAAGAAGAAAGAAAAAGGAAAAAGAAGAAGAAAAAGGAAAAAGAGGAAAAAAGTGAAAAGGAAAACAAAATGGGCGGGGGTAATCTTAGTGAAAACCCGAAAGGGCGCTGAGGTAGGGTTTTACAAGGAAAAATGAGTTTGGATCTAAAGTGCTGGTGACTTAGTTCATTGGAAATTCTCCTCATATTGTGATTCTGTTGTCAAGCATTTGAACTCCGAAGAGATGATATCCAAAGGGTCAAGCGTAGCATTTTGCTCGAAAACCAAAGTGTTTGATTTATTAAACACGAAATTTGAGTATACAAGCTTATTTATTTGAAATGATTTTTTATGCAATAAAAGTAGAGGGTTGTGTTTAGATTGTTAAGATTTTTCATTATGTGCAATTAGAATATTTTTTACATGTTTCATGATCACATTTGTCTCTTTTATTCTATCAAAAGGCAATCCCTATGATTTATCAAAGAAAATGGATACTAACTGGTTTATTGGTTAAATATGAGAAATTATGGGAATTTGATATTGTTTGCAGGGCCAGGTTGAAGTGCTCGCTTCGTCAAACGAGAAGCCCAAATGCTCATGTTTACACTTTTCTTGAAGAAGAGGTTGATCGGATGGTGGCGGTATTATCTATCATTATTTCTTTTCTTGCAGGTCTGACAATCCGATAAGCATCACACTGGGGCAATTTTAGAGGAAGTTGTTTGCCTTTCTTCTCAAAAGTCTACGAAAGTTTTTATACGACTAAACCAATTGAAGGCAGGCTCGGGTGTTGATCCCACTGACCAATTAAACAATTGAAAGCAGGCTCAGGCTCGGGTATTCATCCCACTGACCAAATGAAAAATGAAGGCAGGCTCGGGTATTCATCCCATCGACCCAACTGATAGCAGGCTCGGGTATTTATCCCACTGACTAAATGAAGGCAGGCTCGGGCATTTATCCCATTGACTAAGTGATAGCGGGCTCGAGTATTCATCCCACTGACCTTTTGAGTTTACATGTTCCAACTCACAGCGGAATAACTGTAGGTAAGTATTTGGTGTCCACGTCTTTGTCTCAAGTTTCTTCGAAACTCAAACAAAGAGGGGCAAACTGTAGACACCAAAATTTTACTCTTTTATTTATTTATTATTTTTGTTTTAATTTATCTCATAATTTCATCTTAGACATTTTTTAGCATTTTGGACATCAAATCTTTTAATTTAGTTTTATTTGTTAATTTGACTCATTTTTATTTTTGCTTATTTGTCTATTAATTTTATTTTAAGACATTTAAGCATTAAGATTTTTTGAAAAAAAGAAAATTGTTCACAAACAATATTCTTTAAATTTTTTAGATGCAATTTATTTATTTCGTAAAAAAGAAAAAAAGAAAAAAAAAGAAAAAAGAAAAAAAGAAGAGAGCTCATGCACCATGCTGCACTTGATCCAAGCTCCTTCTCAATATTTCATTTCAAGGCAGTAGCATGAAACGGAAAAGAACAGAAATTTGCAGCGGTTTCTTTGATTCCAACCTTATCCAAAAACTACCATCCAATGGCTCAGATCTTTGGTAATAATCTACCCTTCATCCTCACATTTGAGGTGAGGGTTTTAGGGACTTAGGGATTCCTATAAAAGGAGGAGCGCAGCCAAGAGAAGGAGGGGAGGTCAGACGTAGAATCCAAGTTGACGGCTGGTGAAGAGTGAAAACAGGAGAAGAGAACGAGAGGGGCGGCTGAAATCTTTTGGGAGGAAAAAGAAAAAACAGAGAGGGAGGCTAGGGTTAGAGAGATAGAAGAGAGATAGAATGAGAGAAACAGAGAAAGCAAAGAAACCAAGATAGCTTGGTGAAATCTGAGAAAATAGCTGCGGATAAGAAATCTACGGGCAGGGAAGAAAAAACTAGGAAGGCCGTGAGCTTGAGAGAGAAAAAGAGAGAAAAATTACTGAGGGTTGTTTACGGCTGAAGAAAACCTAAAGTAGAAGGGTTTCGACGGTGAGGAAGAGAGAGAGAGACCGAAAGGGAGAGAGCGAGAGAGGTAGGCAGCTGAGAGTTCTTCGGCCGAAAGAAAAAGCTTGGCGGCTGGGAAAAAGAAGTTACGGGCAAGGTGGAAAAAGAGCTTGGGTTGGGGTTGCAAGAAGGTGACTGATCCTCATCATCGTTTTTCCATTGACGTTCCTTTGAAGATCCGGCAGAAACCATCTCAGCCTTTTCTTTAGTCATCCCACGCCTCATTTTGTATTTAAGGTAAGATCCTTATCTTTTATGGTAGAAAGCTGTTTTCTTTAGTTGTTATTTGCTTCCTTTTTGCTATCTACTGTTTCTGTCTTTGATTCCATGATTAGTTGATGGTTCTACGCTGATAAAGTTATGATATTTGGAGTCTATATGATGAATCAGTAGGTCTCATTTGGATTATACTGCATGATTGTGTTTTGGCCGAACAAAAATTGCAGAAAGTTTGCAGCTTTGATTGTTTCTGTGCTTAGAATCTTTTAGCATGTCTAAATCTAGAGTTGGGTTTAGTTTGGACTGGGTTTTGAGAGACAGAAACCCAGGTTTGACATATCATGAATGTTTACTACAAGTTTTCCTTGGCACCTTTGCTGCGTTTTTCGTAGTCAAATTACATTGCGGCATTTGATAATGTTGGAGGATTTCGTTGCCTAGGTTCAGATGGTTTTGGTTGAGCTTTATACGTGAGAAGTTGCTGTAACAAGTTTGAAAATGTTCGGTTGGTTGCACAGATGTTTGTAGACTGATTTTCTGGAATAGCTAAAATTCTGATTTGGTTGGGTTTCTTCCATTGGGTTTGTTTGTTGTCTAAGTCTTTGTTGCGCCGCAAGTTTGCTGCCGAACCTTTTGCGTAAAGTTTCTCCAGTATTTGCATGATTTCCTTCTATGTTTTTTTTTTCTGGTGGCTGAGGTTCTTGCCTGGCCAAAATCTTCTTTTGAAATTTGCTTACTGTTTTGAGTGAGGCCGCCTGCATATTTGCAGCAATCTGAAGCGGTAACTGGAACTATGGTTTTATATCATGATTTTGTTGTTTGGTCCAAAGTGAGTTGGGTTGAAGTTTTTTGGGGCATTAGGTGAGGTATCTACAAGTTTCATTGGGGCGTGTAAATGTTTATAAACATGCTGAAATTGTAGAAAGGAAGTTGCGCGAAGTCTATTGTGTTTTTTAGTTTCTTTCCTTATGCATCTTTGCTGCATTTTGTGCACTTTCAAATCTGTTGGGATGTATCCTAAGGTAATGGGTCAGTGGGTGGAAAATCAGTACACTTGGTAGGTGGATTTAAGTTGATTGTATGAACATGCTTCATGTGTAAGTTGCAGCAAGATTGAAGTGAATTGGTCTGCATTTTGCTGCATTATTATTTATTCCTTTGTGAGTTATTTGTCTCTCCTTGTTCCAGAAGTGCATGCTCACCAAAAATAGGTAATTAGGTTGGTGCCTTGGTATGATATTATTCTCTGGCCTCACGAACCATGAGCAGCTTTTGGTTGCTGAAATTGAATAGCATAGGGAAATAAATTGCAGAGACTTGTTTCCTTCATAGTTTGCACAGAATCTGCATGATATCTTTCTAAGTCTTAGCTTGTTTGTATGTGGAAGTCATGTGTTTCGTTGCTTGCTTGAAGTTATGATTTTTGGTTGAAAAGCTTTGAATCAAAGTTTGTCTGGAGTCCTCATTTGAAATGAAATGGCGGCAGGTTTGAGTTGCAGAAACATAAGCTTCGTAACTTTGCATGAGTTTGCATGGAAAAACTTTCGACAATTGCACTTTTGCCACTCAAGTCTCCCCTTGTTTCACTTTGACCCAGAAACTTTGGAAATTAGTCAATTTTATCCATTTAAATGCTAACTTTCTTTGCCATGATTTAATGAGATTTTTTGGGTAGAATATGCATGAGTTTTAGGATGAATTTGAAGGGTTTAATAGTTTTTTTTTTTATTTATAGCTTTAACTTGAATTTTTTTTTTTTGTGAAAATTTTGAATTTTTGTTGTTTAATCCTAGCAAATTGCTTTTCATTTATTTTTTGTGAATTTTATCATTTGATTTGGTATGTTTCACCTTAGATCCTTAATTTTATTTTATTTCCTTTTAGACCCTTAGTATTTATAATAATAATAAATTGGCTTTTTAAACTTCTTTAATCTTTCAATTGGGTTTTTGTTTGTCTTAATTGGTTGAATATGAGTAGTTTACTTTCCTTGAAATGCTTTGAGTGATTCAATTTAGTGTTTATTGCCATTTCTTATGATTAAAGTGATGCATTGACCTTTTCTTTGTATTTTGGAGGGCAAATAAGTAATTTTACTTCATTAGACCCCCAACTCAAGGGAGGTACACTCTATCCCCTTATTCTTTACATTATTTGACCCTACGTGCCCTATGTGATGTTACGTGCTTGATTGCATGCCTCTTAATTGTTTTATTAGTTATTGATTTATTTATTTATTCGCTTTATTGGCTTTAGTTTGTATATTTATTTTTAGTTCAATTTTGATCATTTGAGGGCACTTGAATGCCAAAGTTGTAATAGCTAGGTTATTATTTTATTTTATTTATTTTATTCCGTTTCCCCCTCTTAGATTGTAGTAGGCTCCCCCCCTAAATGTAATAGTTAGGGCTTTATTTGCTTTATTTGCCTTGCGTGATTTGCATGTCTATGTGCTATGTGTTACCACTTTTTTAGGATCTTGCATCTAGATATCATGCTTATGTGTTATGTGTTATATGTGATTTATGTGTTTACATGCTTTTATTAGGTCTTACATGATTTATTTGATTGTAACCGATATGTGACGTCACCACACTAGTCCAATGCTAGTTGTGGTCAATTTCTCGAACCCACACTAGTCCAACGCTAGTTGTGGCCCTT